GGAAAAAACCGGATAAAGTGTTCAGATTAAGCCACAATCGCGATTTCTCATCTAAAATTCGAACAGGGAAAGACGGTGATTTAAGACAGTTTAAAATTTTTCACGGTCGCCTCGGGCAAGGCGGTCCGAGGCCGTTATCGCCCTGGGCCTACACGCTCCCTCTGCAGATTTCATCGCAGACCAGTTTCCACCCGTTTCAAAACGGATTGCGATTTTTTTTAACCCACTGACCCGTTATGAACAGCCGTGGATCCGCATTGTTGCGTAATTAATTTCCATTTTCGCCTGTCCGTCACGCCATGGTTATCGACCCGACATCACATAACAATTGACTATAAACTTCAAAAAATTATCTTTTTTTTTAATGTCTCTTAGTTATTTAAATTTAATATAAAATTGTTTCATCAGAATAGGTTAAAGAAGGAAAAAGGTTCATCATTCGCATCTGTACGATGCTACTTGCGTCGATAAGGTCCAAGGGAAGATTAAGTTCAAGTGCGACAGAACTTTACAATTTAATGCATCGGAAGTTAAGACGAAACTCTTGGCTACTTATTTTTTCGTTAAGTTTTCCATTTCTCCCCTCACTTGCGTCTTTCACACAGCCTACTCTTGAGTTTTTCGCCTGATCTGACATCACGAGGTTACACGGACCCCTTTTTTTCCGATGTCTCCTGCACACTTCTGATAACTCCTGCGCCGGCGAACTTCAACCCTCTCACTCTTTCTGCTAAAAAGAATTCTCAAAACTCATAATAGAGTTTTTCCATAAGGGGGAATTTCAAACATTGCGAAACCAATTTTAAAGCTTTTATCAGGTGAATGTGAAAAATGAAGTTTCATTCGCTCCGGCTGGAATTATTAATATTTACCCTCGTCGAGAGTAATATACTCCCTCCAGGTCAATTCGTACCATAAAATATTCAAGCTGTATGCGATAGAGCATTAATAAATTATTACCACAGGAATGACTTTTTTTTGATGGGCGACCCCTTTTCCTGAGAAACGTTTCAGACATTTCCGTGATGCGTGCATCATATCTAACATTTGAGTAGATATTGACATCCGCGATCAACGAAATATTCTGTCCAAAATTGGCCTGATTCTCCTACCAAACAAATATTGAAACAATACATGCCCGGTAAGATCGATTATTACGCCTGTGTTCAATTTTTCTCTATCTGTTCAATCTAATAAAGCAACCGCCTTAAGAAAGTTAAGCCGAAAAGGGAAATCAACTTCAAATAATTTTGTAAATCGTGACAAAAGTGAACTTTCGTTTTTTCAAATATATAATCGGTATGAAACAGATCTTCGGACCTTTTTTTTTTTCAATTTTTCGAAACGGACGAAATCGTGTTTGGCTTTAAATACTCTCGTGGGAAATGTCGGCCTATCTCCGGCCGTATCAGATGTCGGCGCTTGCACGCTTAATGAAAGGGCCTCCCATAGTCAACACCTCAGATCGCCTCCACCCAGTTTTGTAACTTTTAATTACTTATTTACACTCAGATACATTTAACTAACCTTGTTTCGGCCTGGGCTAGATGCCGCTCGGCGATAAGTCGAGGAACAGGTAAGAAAAAGTGAGATTTCCCAGTGATTTCGACAGAAAAAAAAACCATATTACAGCTTTTTTAGTGTGGGACGATCTCTCAAGTCGATTAGTATTTTTATTAATTTCTCAGCCCAGATAAACAAGGTGTTAATCGATACTGAAATTGGTTACTGGGAGATGTTAATAAACAAAAAATCACTTAACAGCATCACAGCTTACCTATATGCTTAAAAAAAAAAATAAACAGCATTCAGCGTACTTATTGACCAGAAATGTGCTCTAGTTATTAATAAGTCACCTAGAAAAATTCGCAGGAAATTTATATAACTAATATAAATAATACAAGATAATGGTTAATCTAATCGCGTTTGATAAAAACTAAACAAAAAACTAAGTAAATCAAGAAAAAATAGTGGGAGTAAGAACGACGCTGGCAAGGCAAGAGGGGAGAATGAAAAGATTAAGATTTCGAAAGATTATGGATTTGTTCTACAAATTTCCATTACCCAACACATTTTAATTAAGTATCCAAAAATATCCAAGAACGACAGAGGGAGAAAAAGAGTGAGAACAAGATTGACAGACAGTCAGATACATTAGGTAGGTATATAGAAAAAAATAGTTCCAAATAGAAAGATATAGAGAAAAAGAAAGGATAAGATATGTAGATAAATAAATACAAAGATAAACAATTGTAGAGATAAAAGTAGAGAGTGAGAGAAAGAAGGAGAGCGAAATAAAGGAGAACGTAAGAAATAGACATAGAGGGATAAAGATAATAGGGGTAATCACGATCTTTGTGTTAACCCTGTTAGGTCCTGTCAGATCGAGAACAATGATGACGTAGACTTGTAAGAATCGGCTGGTTAACATTGCTCGATCTAACAGGCTAGGGCCAATGCTAGATATTAGGTCGAAAATGTAGTCACATTGCTGTCCGCTAGGGCAAAGGTAACCAACATGGCAGCCATGGATTTAACAGCTGTTTTTTGTTTACACCTATTTTTATTCTTAAATATTCATTAATTAAATCAGACCTAAACATTTCTTTTGCTAATTTCTGACCTGTCCTTATACCCTCAAATTCCAAACAGAAAGATATAGAGAAAAAGAAAGGATAAGATATGTAGATAAATAAATACAAAGATAAACAATTGTAGAGATAAAAGTAGAGAGTGAGAGAGAGAAAGAGAGATCGAGAAAAATGATGACGTAGATTGGTAAGAATCGGCTAGTTAACATTGCTCGATCTAACAGGCCAGAGCCAATGTTAGATATTAGGTCGAAAATGTAGTCACATTGCTATCCGGTAGGGCAGGTAACCAACATGGCAGCCATGAATTTAACAGCTTTTAACAGGTTTTTTGTTTACACCTATTTTTATTCTTAAACACGCATTAATTAAATCAGACCAATACATTTCTTTTGTTAATTTCTGACCTGTCCTTATACTCTCATTCATAAAAGCTATATCCCCTATCCTATAAATTTGTAGGCTGTTAGAGGTTAGGATACAAGTTAGGCATGGCGGCACGGATTGGAGCGTGTAAATTGTTAGTACTTTCGAGTAGCATTTTGAATGAAAGAATTAATTAATTTTTCTTTTTATTAACTTCTGTCATCTTACAATTTAACACAAAGTCCCTCCTTTTTGCCATTTTTCAAATGTCGTGTAATCTATTTGATTCTCGGCGATGCCATTTGAAAAATGGCAAAAAGGAGGGAAAATTCGAGAGGTGGGGTTGAGATGGGAAGTTAGTGTCCGAGCGGATCGAAGTCACGATAGCTCAAGTGGTAGAGCAGCGGCGTATTCCAAAGAACGTGGGTTCGAATCCCGCTTGTGACACTGACTTTTTTATCTCAACAAAAACCTTAATTAATTGAAAACGAATTATCGATATGTTATGTCCATGATGTATATGGAAACATTATCGCCATCGATTGCAATAAATATCCCTCAACAATATCAACAATAATAACACTATAGATAACACATGTCGATCGAGCGGCAAATCCCTTCGATCATATTTAAAATTTGGCAATCTAACATCTAACAAATATGGTAGAACTAATATATTCTAGAAATATCGTTATTATAAACGTTAAACTAAATGCCCTCAAATGTCGATTATAACTACATGGTTTAGTAATATCTACAATTACGTAGTAACCATTTTGTCGTCATATATCGATAGAGCAGCAATATTGTTCGATAACATTGAAATTTGGTCTATTTAATCATTAAAAATTTCGATACAACCAACATTTTCTTGCAATAGATATTTTATATTACCAAAATATTTTTATAAAATATTATTTAAATATTTTGGCAATCCAATCTCTAAAAAACATCGATGCAACCAATAAAAACGAAATGGCAAAAAATATCGATTTCAACCCGTTCGACAACATCGATATGGTAAGCTTATAGGACAAGAAATATCGATAACAGCCAAACCTCCGATAATATTGAAATTTGGGCAATGTAACCTCTAAAAAGCATAGTACAACCAACATTACAGAAATAGCGATATTTGAAACAGTAAATCAAATGTCAGTAAATATCTATTACAACTACATAGATTATTAATATATATAGTACATTATCATATATCTATTAGAAAAAATTGTCCAATATTATCAATAATTTCACTAATTTCGTGGACCGCTTGACCAATTAATATATTACAATTAATTAAGGTTTTTAGTTGAGATAAAAAAGTCAATGGCACGAGCGGGATTCGAACCCCGCGACCTTCGGCTTGATACGCCGCTGCTCTACCACTTGAGCTATCGTGACCTCGATCCACTCGGACACTAACTTCCCATCTCAGCCCCACATTTTGAATTTTCCCTCCCTTTTTGCCATTTTTCAAATGTCGTGTAATCGGACTGGATTCTCGGCGACAAATGAAATGGCCACGGAGAGTTTTAGTGAAGTATACTTCATATTAATTCATCAACTTCACTTTTCGTGGTCCGTTACAATTAATTAAGGTTTTTAGTTAAGATAAAAAGGTGGGGTTGAGATGGGAAGTTAGTGTCCGAGTGGATCGAGGTCTCGATAGCTCAAGTGGTAGAGCAGCGGCGTATCTAGCCGAAGGTCGTGGGTTCGAATCCCGCTCGTGGCACTGACTTTTTTATCTCAACTAAAAACCTTCATTAATTGTAATTATACATGCTAACCCGTTCGTCATCATATCTCGATTACGACCAACATTTTCTAGCAATATCGATATTTAAAATTATAAAAATATCGCCAGAAATTATCGATAAACGTCGATAATTAAATCGATATGTAAAAAAATAACACTATAACCTACAAAGTCTAGTAAAATATCGATATTATTGAGCCTGAAATATCGATACAATAATACACTTTCTTATTTGTCGGGATTTATTTCCAGCGAAGTATCATTTACCATTATTAACATCGTTTTCTGATGAAAATGAATAAGTATTTTATCTAAAAATAATATCGATTTAAAATGTCGATATGAAATATTGAATTTTGTTGATTTTATAGAAATACATGACCGATATTTGGCATTTATGGAGGAGATTCTTAAATATGACTAACAAATATGCGTATGCAGCCTAATGCTTTCACTACCAGAAGGAATGTTAGTAACGTAAGTAACCAGAGTGTTCAATCATGATAAAATTCGTCAATCTATATTTGTTGACCTTGTATTTTTGAACTATTATTTGTCCACATATGATATTTGGCACATGTGATCGACCGTGACACATGTAAACAAGCAGGCACTCCTGTTAATTAAATGGACATCCTCGTCGAAATGATGTTCGCTTCCCGCCTCACCATCCCGCTCGTCAGAGTCCGAATCACGTTCGTCCAGTATATCAGCACGTTCTTCTGTAACATCCCGATAACGTACATCGACGACATCGAAGAGGGTGACTTCCAGGAGATCTGAGCCCAATGGACGTCCTCTTGTCTTTCATCTTCCGAATGTCAGTCCGTCTTCCTTTCCAGCGGGAGCTGCGGATCATTTTCGAACTGACGACCTTGGCCACCCAGCAGGTGGAGTTCTTCGACGACATCGATACGGATGATTTCGTTTGATTGTAAAATTTTCATTTTTTTATATTTTTTATTAACAATATCCTATTAAAATACCTCTTAAAAAAACCAACTAAACACGTTATTTTCCAGATATTTTCCTTTGGTGTTTCGTTCGATTATAGTCCTTTTGAATTGAGTCTTGCTACACACTTATAACTCCACAAGGTACAAACATAAAAAATAATTAAAATAGATTTTAAAAATCATTCATTTTTTTCAACTTTCAGCTGACCCACATCAAAAACAAAAACAAAATAAATACCTAAACCACATAATGTTTTATCTAAATTTATGTTCATTATGATTCAACCGTTCACTCATCAAGAAATTTAAGATTTTTGTTGTTATGTTCCGACAAAAAAGATTGATATCTAGTGATAATCCAGATGGGTTCATTTACATATTAATGGCAGAATCTTGGTAAAAAATTATCATCCTGTGAAATATGGTTATATTAACATTTAAACATGCGATTTCATTCATTCATTTGTCGCCGAGAATCAAACAGATTACACGACATTTGAAAAATGGCCAAAAGGAGGGAAAATTCAAAAGGTGGGGTTGAGACGGGAAGTTGGTGTCCGAGTGGATCGAGGTCACGATAGCTCAAGTGGTAGAGCAGCGGCGTATAAGCCGAAGGTCGTGGGTTCGAATCCCGCTCGTGACACTGACTTTTTTATCTCAACTAAAAACCTTAATTATTGAATGATATTAATTGGTCAAGCGGACCACGAAAAAAGTGAATTTAATGAATTAAAATGAAGTATATCTTCACTAATGCTCTCCGTGGCCATTTCATTTATCGCCGAGAATAAAATAGATTACACGACATTTGAAAAATGGCAAAAAGGAGGGAAAATTCAAAAGGTGGGGGTTGAGATGGGAAGTTGGTGCCCGAGTGGATCGATGTCACGATAGTTAAGTGGTAGAGTAGCGGCGTATCAAGCCGAAGGTCGTGGGTTCGAACCCCGCTCGTGACACTTTTTTATCTCAACAAAAAAACTTAATTGATTAATGTCAATAATAAATTAAAAAACAAAAAACAAGAAGGTTGAACAGTTCGTTATTTCCTTCACATAACAATTAACAACCCTATAATTTTAATTAATTTTTCTACCCGTGAATAAAACAAAATTATTCGTGGTCCGCTTGACCAATTAGTACATGACAATTAATCAAGGTTTTTAGTGAGATGAAAAAAAGTTAATGGCACGAGAGGGATTCGAACCCACGACCTTCTGCTAGATTCGCCGCTGCTCTACCACCTGAGCTATCATGACCTCGATCCACTCGGACATCAACTCCCCATCTCAACCCCACCTTATGAGTTTTCTATCCTTAAGAAAAATGGCAATAGGAGGGAAAACTCATAAGGTGGGTTTGAGATGGGAGTTGATCGAGGTCACGATAGTTTAGGTGGTAGAGCAGCGGCGTATCAAGCCGAAGGTCGTGGGTTCGAATCCCGCTCGTGCCATTGACTTTTTTATCTCAACTAAAAACCTTAATTAATTGAACTTCCTTGTTTTGTTCCTATTCATGCATTTTGGAGACAATCCAGCTCTGCAATCGATCGAAATATCGATAATAAATTTATATGGCTTCTATGATAACCCAATCGCCAATAAATAGCGATAAGTGGTAACCTTTTAGCCATCATATATCAATAGAACCGCAAGATAAATCGATAGTGGTGAAATTTTGGCAATCTCACCTCTAAAGAGATTGGGAACGCGGTACCGGCCGTCGTGGGTTCGATTTCCACCGTCGCCCCTGGCCATTATTTCACGACACCCTCACCCTCAAAAAAAATACATTAATATATCGTTTCCTTGACTAATATCCACAGTTCATAAGGCCATTCATAACATAAATGATTAAATCAAAACTAAAGAGCATCGACACAATCATTTTAAATCAATATCAGCATTTCATATTAAAAAACTATCACCATCATGTACAGATTAGAACAGATATCGTTCAACAATATCGATAATTTACATAATAACTTTATAGCTAACAATATAGCTACAACGAAATCGCTAAATAATATACATAATTTTATGATTTTTATGTTAACACAATCGCCTTTTTCGGCCTTTTTTTTTGCCTGAGCAAATAAGAAAAATTATTCAAACTCTAGTCAAACAGAATGTTAAGGTACAACTAGGCTGGGTTAAGGCTCATTGCGGAATAGAGGGAAATGAAGAAGCTGACAGGCTGTCCAAATTAGCATCTACTGACGAGAGTTTGAATTTGGCATACACCGAACTTCCAAAGTCATCAATTATAAATAAACTTTTCGAAGAGTCTGGAAAAATGGGAAAATGCTTGGTCAAGTACAAATGGTATACACGATGGTCAAAGTATATCGATTATAAAAATATCGTTCAATAATATCGATAATGTACATGATAACCCAACGATCAACAATCGATACAACAACTAAATCTCTCAGTAATATCGATAATATATATGATTTTTATGCTAATCTAATTCACATAAATGGTGAAACAACAAAAATCCTTCCATAGAATGGTTATTTACTATGATAACACGATAGTCAACATATATCGATTATAAAAACATCGTTCAATAATATCGATAATGTACATGATAACCCAATGATCAACAATCGATACAACAATTAAATCGCTCAATAATATCGATAATATACATGATTTTTTGGTAATCTAAATCACAATAAATGGTGAAACAACAAAAATCGTTCAATAGAATGGTTATTTATTATGATAACACGATGGTCAACGTATATCGATTATAAAAATATCGTTCAATAATATCGATAATGTATATGATAAACCAATGATCAACAATCGATACAACAACTAAATCGCTCAATAATATACATAAATTTTATGCTAATCTAATTCACAATAAATAGTGAAACAACAAAAATCGTTCAATAGAATGGTTATTTATTATGATAACACGATGGTCAACGAATATCGATTATAAAAATATCGTTCAATAATATCGATAATGTACATGATAACCCAATGACCAATATCGACGCAAATATTAAATCATTCAATAATATAGACAAAAAGTTCACTAATTTCGTGGTCCGCTTGACCAATTAATATGTCACAATTAATTAAGGTTTTTAGTTGAGATAAAAAAGTGAATGACACGAGCGGGATTCGAACCTACGATCTTCGGCTAGATACGCCGCTGCTCTACCACTTGAGCTATCGTGACTTCGATCCACTCGGGCACTAACTTCCCATCTCAACCCCACCTTTTGAATTTTCCCTCCTTTTTGCCATTTTTCAAATGTCGTATAATCGGATTGGATTCGACAAGTGACAAATGAAATGGCCACGGAGAGCTTTAGTGAGGTATACTTCATTTTAACTCATTAAATTCACTAATTTCGTGGTCCGCTTGACCAATTAATATGTCAAAATTAATTAAGGTTTTTAGTTGAAATTTAAAAAAAAAGTATCTAGCCGAAGATCGTGGGTTCGAATCCCGCTCGTGCCATTCACTTTTTTATCTCAACTAAAAACCTTAATTAATTGTGACATAGACAATAAGTTTTATGGTAATCTAATCGCCAATAAATAGCAATACAACTCAAATTGTTCAATAAATCGATTTTTATATGACATAACTATGTTATTATGTACATGATAACCCTATAGCTAAATGCCAACATTGTTCAGTAAAATAACGGTATTATTGAACCTAAAATATCGATATCCTTAGAAGTTTTTTTAGTTATTGTATTTTTTTTTGGGGGGGGATTCGAACTCGGTTCCTTATAGAGATGAGTCGGCGTGTCAACGCCCAATCTAACCGTTGCGATTCCCTTCATAATTGTTTTTTAAAAATGATGTTATTAAGAAAAATATGGTCTTTGTAAATTGAAAACATTTAAACAATTTTTATTATTGATACGTACTTCTTGATCATTGTTATATTTGTGTTTATTATTAACACCACCTTGTTAGATGCTTTACCTCCTTAGGCAAGGAATAAATTAACATAGGCTGTATAATTATGTAAGGTACGATAATTTATAATGTACACGACGTCCAATTACTTTGTCAGTGTCATGGACGAAGGTAAAACCACAGAGGATATTTGCTGAATCCAAATCAGACATGGCTTCTTTACAGATTAGCAGTTTAATAATAGACATTGCAACTTGGAATATCAAGTCAACCCTTTCTGAACAGCCTTTCAGATAAATAATTCCCGAAATTTCGGTCAAAGAGGCACCGGTGGATAATTCTCGGTAATTTTCGATTAATACCAACAGAGACACAACGAATAATTAATTTGGGCAAAATTAACGGCTTTTGTCGTTCAAAGGGCTTACCAAGGAAGAAAAACACCCCAGGGCTCAAGAAGTAAACAACCCCTATCGATTCCTTTCGGATTCGAGGGCCCTTCGCCCCTTGGCATTCGACCCTTATAAATACCCGAATGGGATTTGCATCTGCAAATGAATAAACGGATATCCCTGGCCTAAGAAGGGTTTTTCTTGAAAAATGTATACAATAAAACACACCGTTTACCTTCGCCGAGGTGAAAAATCAGCCGTCAAAGATCGTTTTTTCTTTTATTACCCTTTAAATTCCGGTTTATTTCGGAGTGAATATTAAGCAGTGTTAAAGCTGGGGAATTAGGTGTCAAAAAAGTTTCAATACAGCGAAAGGAAAAACCTGTTTCGGCAACTCTTCACATTTTATAACATAATCATGTTTCTCATTTTACGCCTTACTGTTCCTCTGAACCGTCCAGTCCTTCTGGAACGGTCCTCCAACAATATTGAAAAAAATAATAAAAATACAAGTGGTGAAAACGCCCAACAGAAACTTAAAAAAATAGGGGTTTTAACGACCACATGTACATCCAGCAATTATCCTTGTTCCTATGATTACTTTTAAATTATTTGAGCTACTCCCGCATAATGTCAGGTTTATATGGTCGTTACATGAGACATGCTACCTCATCACGACATTTAAATTGTCATATTTCACAAAACAATGTTCAAAATCGATTTTTTGTCTATATTATAGTTCGGATATTTCTCAGCTGGGGTGGAAACTTTTCGAAACGAGTCGTTTTATCGAATTACAAACGAGTTGCCGATATGTTCCCAGGAACGATTCCCCCGGGTCGGCCTTTGTTTTCCAACGGGGATTAGATCTCGAAGTTGGCCGAGAAGTTACCGCCGGGAAAGACGTGATTTCCTGATTTTCTCAGGTAGCCCCAACCTAGCCCGAAACGGTCCTTTTTTTTCTAAAAGACGCTGTTCCCGAAGGAATAGAAGGATAAAACGGCAGAGACCGACCCAACAAACCCGTGGGACGAACCAATTACCACACTGTGTACACACGTGTGTTTACGTGTTTGCTTGATGTTAATTTTGTCCTAATTAAATTCCTT